TTTGTAATCTTATTTTTATGTTACATAAGCTCAGTTTACATCATAAATAACCAAACTTGGCCTTTTTGGTTTGAAATTTTTCTTTAAAAGGATAATAAAATTTAAACTTATTTGTTGCCAGAGTTTTAAATTAGATATGTGTTATGCCCCTACTATTTAAAAACTGGCTTGTAATAAATAGTTTTTTAACGGTTTCATAGAAACCAGGCATTTTTATACAAAAAAAAACTTGAAGATCGATTAAATTCTGAATTATTAAAGTTTGAATTAAAATTAGCACAAAAATTAAAAATTTAATTTTTGCGCAGTTCGCTTCCTCTTTGAAAGGGCACTCAACTTAACATCATAAATAATTATCAAAATGCTATATTATGGTAATGACTAAATTTTATGCTCCACAATTTTTAAACTATCCTCTTATATGCTATTTTAAGAGTATATTTCAATTCGTAATTCTCTTTCATTATCAAAATATGAGAAAAATTTGCAGCTTATAAAAATAATTAAAGGCATACAAAAAGGCAATTCTTTTTCAAAAAAAGTAAATTAGCAAAAAGTTATTAATTGATAAACAACTTAAAAGCTTTCTTTCTATAATTTAAACTGAAAATTATGAGAAAATAAACATTTAAATATGCATTTCTTTTTTTTTTAAAGGCATTTATTTAAAAAAAAGTTTTAAAATTTAAAATCAGTTAAAAAATTTATTAATATTCCTCCCCTCCGAAAAAATATACTTATAAAAATTTAATCAGTTGAGAATAATCCTAACAAAGTAAACATTTGTAATAGTAACCAGAATTAAACCCATAAACACAGATAATTTTATCAGTGTGTAATTATAATTAAAAAACAATGAATAATTTTTAAAAAAATGGAACCTGAATAAAAAAGCAGTAATTTTAAGGAATGGCGACTTACTTTTACAAAAAGGGCTAAGAGGGCATATTTACTGGGATCAAAGGGCAAGCAGAGCGAGCCGCCTCTCAAAAAAACGATTAGGAAAGCACTGTTTAAACCAAGTTAACACGTATTAATAGTAGCTACCATTAAAGAACTGATAAATTAGTAAAAAAGTATATTGTGAGACAATAAGTTGTATTTTACCTGTTTTAATTTTTTCAGAAAAAAATAAGTGGTGGCAAAAATGTCTCAATTTTTAATTAATTTCTATCGTAGTAATTATATTTATGATATATTTATAGCATATAGCTGCCAATTCCACCGGAGTTTACCAGTAGACTACTGGATTTTGCCAGTTGCTATTTTAATCAGAAATTCGCCGAATTTTTTTAATTTTTGAGAAAATTCCCTAAAAAATGAAAAAAAATCATATGAAGATAGATTTTTTACTCCATTCATTCATCGTTTGCTTGAGTATTTAAATAAATATTGATGCTAATTAATGAAGTGAGTCGAATCGAAAATAATCAGTTTGAAGCTTTTCTTTTTTCAATATTCAAATATTTTCATTTTTCACACTTCTCTATTTTTGAGATCTTTATTTTAGAGTAAAAATGTCGTGACTATATAAAATGATATCAATATCTGTTACTGAAATTGATGAATTCAAAAGTAAATGCAAAATAATGAAAACCAGTCTATTTTCAAGGCTTATTTAGTATCTATCATAAAGAGAAAATCCAATCAATTTAATTTTTTATAGTTATTAGTTATTTTTAATTAAATTATTTTTGGATAAACGACGTTTATAATTATGTGCAAAAAATTTTCAATTCGCTTAAAAAATTCCAGAGATAAGGCGAAATACGCAAAAAACAAAATAAACATTTCGAGAGCCAAACTTAAAATCGCTTTCCTGGCCACACTTAGAGACCATATTTCCCAGATTTCGGGTAACCCTATGTTATGGGAGGCAGGAATCTAAATGCGTCGAAAAAAAGGCATGTTTATTCAGAGAAAAAGTATGTTTATGCGTCTGATTTTGTAACCTAAATTATTATCTGTACTGATTATTTAGCCTATATGAAGTAACATAATCAAACTCATAAGTTTGAGTTCTCGAACGTAAAGATCCGATCATTAGATCAAAAGTTATTCAGGGTGGTCTGTTCATTTTTTGCGTCCTGTGCATAAGAAGCTTTAGGGGATGATCCCTAAATTCATCATTTAAAAATGCTATATTACTGTACTGTTGATTGAAACCAACCGTTTCTTAAATTTTAAGATCGTTTTTTAGAAATTAATCATTTATTATAATTGTTAAACTGCAAAACTCCATCTTGCAAGATTTTTTACTAGATTTGCTGAAAATATTAGATATAAAAAGATATTAGATCAAAAATCCAAATCTTTCGATTCTTCAAACGAATTTTTTTTTTTTAATTTTCATTTGGTATTCTTAAAAAAGATGAGATTTTCGGAAAGCACACAAAAATCAGGAATATCAGGACAAAATATAAAAAAATACTAGATCAGAATCCAAATCTTTCAATTCTTCAAACGAATTTTTTTAAAAATTTACATTTGATATTCTTTTAAAAAAAAATGAGATTTTCGGAACATACACAAAAATCTGGAATATCAGGACAAAATATTTTAATCTCAAATATCAGGACTACTACGAATCTTGTATTTTGTAAGCTTTTTAAAAGCCTTTTTTAACCATAGTTTACCTCTAGATTCTCGAAATATCACTACACACATTCCACTACATTTAAATTATTTACTAGAGCTTATTCTTGGTAGAAATTTGAGGTTTATTGGGTTATGTAATCATTTATTTGGATTGTGCTAAGCTTAAATACGAGAAAAAATTGTGGAATATTTCTAATATACTTAAAAACTTGTCAGATTTTTTATAATAAAACATTAAATTAAAATAAATTCCATTATTTTTTGTTAAGAAATTTAACCGGGCACTCAACTGACTCATGCTATAGGTAAATTTTTCCTGTTTTCCATCTTAAATACTACTCTGGCAGAAATCAAAAACACAATGTTTTTGATGGTAATTTTAAAGAAAATTATAAAGTTATAATGTATAATAGATTTATAGAAATATAAATATGTCCGTAAGTACGAATATTGACAGTTTGAAGAGGATAATTTCCGTAAGTATTTAAAAGCAATTAAACATCTTATTCAATAAATAAAAATAGTAGTTAACAACACTAGTTCCATTCTAAAAATTAGATCAAATATACCATGAAGAACACTAACTTTTCATAATTTCAAAATTTTTACCATCAAATCTAAGTTTGTAAAAAAAAAAAAAAATGGAATAGCTATCATAAAAACTCACCAAACCTTAGAATAGCCACTTTGCCCGCCATATTCTCTTTGTAAATATTCATCACCATTTGTTCTTAGCATACAAGTGCTTATTTGGATTAGTATCCACTTTATATTGTTGATGTTGATGATGATGTGGGGGGGATCTCTGCTACTCGCTTTTATCCCCCTTGCTGTAAGGTGTATTTTTTGTGAGTTGAGTTGTTGGTGCTGAAGATGATGACGATGAGGTGGTGAGAGTACACGCTGTTCTTGAAGAAGCGAAATAAATTTACAGTAGAGATCAAAATTAAATATTTTTCCAAAACACTTTTGGAGAGGTAGATTAGAAAAAATTAAAATCTAGCATTTGGTGGTTTCAATACTTTTGGAGAAACACGTAATACATTCTAGAAGGCATTTAGTTGCTACAGGAATCTCTAGGATTGTGTTTATCTTTAAGATGTGTTTTGCAGTCTCTAAATCGTCACATTGAATGAGGAGCGACCCGCTTTTTTGGAATCTAATACTTTTAATTTTTTTTGTCGATACAGAAGCATTTAGGTCTGCTTTAAGGCATACTGGTGAGGTCTGTGGTATAGCACAAGATTTTTCTTTTGCTTCAATGCTAAACCAAAAGTCTGCTAAGCCGTTGTTTTTAGCTTGAGCCAAAATATCTTCTATGGGCTCCTTAGAGCACCACTGGTAGTCTAGGAGATTGGTCATTTTGACCGGATGGCCCCCAAAAGGTAAAGAGTAAAAGCGGCTTACCTGTTTTTTGGTAATCCTGAAATAAGGAGGGAGTTTTTAAACATCTTACTATAAATTCGTGGATGTTTTCTTGTTATCCAACAAGAAAAAAAAAGGGAAAAGTGAAATTCGGAAAGTAATAAAAATTCGAAATGAAACTTAAACGTGGCTAAACGTGGAAACTTTAGTCACATCACTCTCTTTAAAATCTAGTTATTAGGCAACTGACTTCATGAAAAGCGCCACTTTATATTCTGTACCACAGTAATTTATAAATAATTAAAATATACGTTTAATGAAAATAAATGAAAATTATGTAAATATTATAGAAATAAAATAAATATTTGTCCCATTGGATCTTCTCTATCATCAATCTTGATTTAAAAATTTAGTGTTACAAAAACATAAGTGTAGCACATTAAAAGATTCATTCAATGTTTAGGAAACATGGCCAAAAATGTAAAGAGTACTAGCTTACCGTTCGTAAACAGCCGAAAAGTTGAGCTGATTACATTTGGTTTCTACTCCGGAGTTTCGTGAACGACCCATCAAATTACATTCTCAAGCATACGTTTGAAGCTTTTACGTTGGAATCAAGATCCGTTTATAAAATTAGTGATTGAGGTATAAGATCTCATATCTTGAAAAACTTTAGGGGGAACTGAACGTTTGCAGCTGAATAGCACATAAAAGCGTTATTGTAAGTAATACAAGCTGACAGTAGCATATAGATCTTTTCATGAAACCCTCTACAGCTATTATGTAGTGGATTCAATTCGTGCTATAATCCTGTTTGTATCTTACATATGCTCTTTGTGCTAAATTTTAAGTTCACTATTGAGTTTTCTGTACCAAGTTTAAGTTAGAAGTTGGTCTTTTCTTTGAGCAACCAAGTCTGTTGATTTCTGAGTATAAAGAATAAGGACACTACAAGGGATGATTGAAGGGGAAGGTTCAGAGCTCAAAAGGAATCGAACTTGCGAGAACAATAAACGAAAGAACAGTACCTCATGATCATGGCGTCTCCAAGATTCATTATCAACATTTCCTGCTATCTAGTTCGACTCAGTTCAAAACTTACTATGGCTTGTCTACGGTAAGAACTCCCCCGTCACGAAGTTTGAGGCCGTCTGCTGCTATGGAAACAAGAATAGCGCATTTCAGGGAGGGTAGCTTCTCTTCGCTCTAGGGCTAACACAATAGACCGGAGAAAAAGATTCCCTTTCTCTCGCCGACACGAGCAAAAATCTGTCCTAAACAACAACCCCACACCACTACTTCAAATAGTTATACCTCGTTACCATAGTCACCGTCAGGGGTCCAGGCGAATGGCTAGGGGAGTTCTTACTTTAGACAAACTATAAAAGGCTGAGATGATCATGGACGGGCTTCTCTAGCCATGCGCTCACGTCAATTCATCAAGCTCTATAGCGTGGAGTTAGCGGATTCTGCCTTAACCCTGGATGGTTATTTGCTATGTCCTTCTTAAATTTGGTCCCACATTGGACTGATCGTAAAGAGACGGTTCCCAGTGGAGTCAGTCCCGCAGTGGACTGATCGTTAAGACACGGTTCCCAGCAGATCACCGAAGTCAAGCATCACTGGCTACGGTCAGTGTGCGGGTGGGTGACCACTTAGATCAGTCTGCGTAGGGACCGAGGGTGTGCGGTATTGGTCCTCGTTAAACTGTGCTACCGTAAAGTGCTCGACTTCGCGCGCAGGTCGTCGGGCTACCGAAGGGGGGTGCCATCCCCTCCGCAGAGGATCAAAATTGTGATGGCATGTCTTCGGATCATTCTCCGGGATGTTTCCCAGACCGTCGCCAATAGCCCATTGTGCAGCTCTAGTGCGACGTAAATTAACAACAACAACCAGTGGAGTCAGTCAAGCACAGCTGGCTGTGATCAGTAAGCGGGTGGCTGACCACTTCGAGCAGCCTGTGTAGGGACTGAGGATGAGCGGTATCTGTCCTCCTTAAACTGCTCTACCGTAAAGTGTTCGACTTCGCGTGCAGGTAGCAAGGCTACCATAGCGGAAGAGCTATCCCCTCTGTAAAGGATAAACATTGTAATGGCCTGTTCTCGGATCATCCTCAGAAATGTTTACCAGACCGTCATTTAATAGGCCATTGTGCAGCTCTAGTGCGACGTGCCCCGCAATGGACTGATCGTTAAGACACGGTTCCCAGCAGATCACCGAAGTCAAGCATCACTGGCTACGGTCAGTGTGCGGGTGGGTGACCACTTGGATGGTCTGCGTAGGGACCGAGGGTGTGCGGCATTGGTCCTCGTTAAATTGTGCTACTGTAAAGTGCTCGACTTCGTGCGCAGGTCGTCGGGCTACCGAAGCGGGGGTGCCATCCCCTCCGCAGAGGATCAAAATTGTGATGGCATGTCTTCGGATCATTCTCCGGGATGTTTCCCAGACCGTCGCCAATAGTCCATTGTGCAGCTCTAGTGCGACGTAAATTAACAACAACAAGTGCGAAGTAAATAAATTACTTACCTACCTACCTTTTTTAATTTGTAGTCGGGATAGCCAGGCTGGTAGGGCGTAGGGCCCATGTCCGGGAGGTCGTGAGTTTTATCCCTGCGATTTGAGGACTCCCTGTGGATAAAATGGTGTCTTGTGCATGAGAAATATGTCGGGGTCACAAATCCTACATGTTCCCTTAACAAATCAATACCTCTGAGAGTACTGGATCGAAGATTGGTCTTGCTCTAGTTCAGGTCTAACTTACGATCTGCGGATGAATGGTGTGTGAATGTGCCGTATGTATGTTGTCTTCGGATCATCCCAGCACCTCCTAGAAGAAGGAAGGCCTCAGCACGGATCAATTTAGTAGTCCGGTGTGACGAAGTTAACTACGATGCCATTACGTTCGGGGTACTAAGCTGCGCAGTGGTTGAAAATACAAAATATGTCATTACGTTTGGACTACTAAAGGATATTTATGGTAAGCTGCTCTTTTCTAGGAGGTGTTGATCGTCCTCAGGGATGTTTCTTAAAGACCGTCACCAGTAGTCGATTGTGCAGCTCTGGTGTGACGTAAATGAATGTACCATCTTTAATTTTCTATTCTTCAACTTGACAAGGGCTTAAGAGTTGTCCTTATGATGAGCAAGCAAGCATGCGTATTATGTAACAAAAACTAAATAAATAGATAGTTGAAGGTTATTGAACAGTAACAAAGAATGTCACAGGTTTGTGCTCTGAGGAATAATAGTAAGGCGCTAAATACAGCCAATATTAGAAGCGTACTCAAAATTGGATCGGCTGTTTAACGCCGGCTATAAAATAAAATATTTGAAGCATAATTATAAGGGGTTGTATTCATGTCATAATACAAGGAATATGTTTCATTATTAATTTGAATATTAATGAAGTTTTTCAACAAATCACTCATTATTTGTAAGTTGCAAGACAATTTAATAAGATTAAATGCAGAACAGCTTACGAACAATTCGGGAAGGTATGTATTTATCTTATGATGATCAAATAAGTGAGTTCTTGTCCGAGGAGCACTATTTTTTGGTCAAATACTCTGAAGCTTGGAGGTAGCGAGTTCGATTCTTGTTGTGAATACAGTTGCGATGGAAACCAGTAAAAACGATGCAACATATTTTTTGTTTCTATTTTTTTCCCTTCTTTTTGCAAAAAGAAACAACTTAAATGCTATCTATTTCATGTTTGTTGGTAATATTTTGACAGTTTTAAGTTCATCATTGTAAATATATTTACTGCTTCTGATACCTGAGAAATTTAGAATCGTAGCAAAATTTCACCTACGTAATTGTTTTTTTTTCTTTTTTTTTGTGCAATAAAATTTGTTTTTATAAAGGTTTATTAAGAAAATATTGTATTAGCAAAAAAAAAAAAAAAAAAAAAAAAAAAAAAAANAAAGACAGAAAAACATTGCTATTTCCAACTTTTTGAACCTGTGAAACAGTATTCTTTCCAAAATCTAGTAGGAAATATATATACATACACAGGGGGGGGGGATTCAAGCGTCAAATTTAGAAGTGTGTTACAGGATTCGCATCGCATAGGAAAAATTCAGTGAGAAGGATCTTGTAAAAAGCATTCAGCGGATTAAAATTTACCATAATATATGGGGTCGCAAACCACGTTGACAAAGTGAAAATCGTAGTATTTATTTGAGCTATTATTGCAAGAGTTGTGTAAAATCCATTGACATTATTGTCCATTGACATTATTTGTCGAAATTGTTCCCCTCTGAAATTGACGTTCGAACAGTCTACAACGACGTGATCAATGAGATCGACGTAATCGTGATCAATGAGACAAGGTGTGATTTGCCTCATTGGATATGAATGTATTCAGAGGTGTCTAAACTAGTGATTTATGGTGACCCCGAAGGAAGAAATCCCCCGAATTGACATTTTACGAACAAAAAACGCTTAATTTAGTCGTTAGTGACCTTCACTTTTCGTCTCCTCTAGATTGAAAGCCTGCACGCATTTTTTGTGATTTTTCCCCCTCTCAGCGTTGTTATTAGCAATCTCATGTCCTATCATAAGTTTTAATCCACCTGAGACGAAATTGTTCCCCTCTGAAATTGACGTTCGAATTCGGGACACCCTGTATGGAAATATTAGCCATGATATGATTGCCTTGAAAGAATTTCACACCCGATAAGACTTTACCTCGTTTAATTGAAAGTAATTCGTTTTTAAAACTGATTTTATAATGGTTATACGTCCCTTAAAATTATAAATTTGTATTTTTAGATCACAAACTCCTCCTGAAATTCAAGAGAGAAACAATTTATTCTCCTCAGACTGGTTATTGGAGTTCAGACATCAGGAAAGAAGGCGCCATCTTTGTTCCTCTTGTCATCGAGGGTTTACTGATCCAAGCAACCTACAGCGACACGTTCGTTCACAGCATTTAGGCAACAGAAATCACGCTTGTAGCCAGTGTGGGAAGGCATTTGCAACTTCAAGTGGACTGAAACAGCACACGCACATCCACAGTAGCATCAAACCGTTCAGGTGCGATGTCTGCTTCAAATCTTATACCCAGTTCTCAAACCTCTGTCGTCATAAGCGTATGCATTCTTCTTGTCGATTCCAAGGTAGTTGTGACCACTGTTCGCTGAATTCCAACATTCAATCGTTCTTCCGAAATCATTCTTTCAGTAGAACCCACTTACCGCTATTTAGAATTCGGTCCAGACAAAGACACATTGAAAAATCTGACGAAAGAAAGACAACCACAACTTTTCTAACGAAAAAGAACGACGCAGTATACCGTAGGTCTAGAAGACTAAAATTCAGAAACAGCACCCATAGTAAGCTTAACATTGATCGAGCAGAATCGGATTGCCAAAGAAAACTTTCCAAAACAGGTGAACAACCGGTAACACAAACGATGTTCAGCTACCAAGGTCAAACTTCACCGAAAGTGGCGAATGTTTGTCCAGAATCTTTATTGATGAGCGATTTGTATTCACACCACAGATTTTCGGACAGTAGTTGCTTCATGGGGTCAGAATACTCTAGGCAATGGAAATCTCCAAGCGCAGAACTGTACAAATCTTATTTACATCCATTTCATTCACTTATAGATTTGCAGAAGCAAAGAGATGAGCCATTAGACTTGAGAGTGAGTCGCAAAAAGAAAACCTCTAGTGATACAGATGAAAACAACAACGGTGATTGGAAACTGCTCGGAGATCCCAGCAATATTCATGACATTATTCTGGAAAGCGGGTGTAATTTTCCGTCACCGTGGGCAAGAACTATGCAGCCATTTTTCTTTGACCCACTCTATCGCGGTCATCAAGAAAACCTAGCCGTGAATTTCTTTCCTAGTCCACCTGATTTAAATCATTTCCCCTTTTCACAAAATGTAATGACTACCCCAACAATTGAAAACCCAATCATGGGTGCAACGAAACCCCAAGTTCAAAACTCATCTGTTGATTACGCTAAACACAAGAAGAACAAAGAAAAATACTCCTGCAAGTTTTGTGGGAAAGTATTTCCACGATCTGCGAATCTTACAAGACATTTGCGTACACATACCGGAGAGCAACCGTACAAATGCAAGTACTGTGACCGATCATTCAGTATTTCTTCCAACCTCCAAAGACACGTTCGTAATATACACAATAAAGAAAAACCTTTTAAATGCTCGTTGTGCGATCGATGCTTCGGGCAGCAGACAAATTTAGATAGGCATATCAAGAAACACGAATCTGACTTGGCGGGTTTAGACAAAACTGTACCAACTACTCAAAACAAAAACAGATTTCAGGATACGGATAAGTCTTCAAAAATAGCTATTAACCTAAACGTAAAAAGTGAATTCAGAACGAATGAAGGTGACCCCGAAGAATTTCTTCGAAGAAAGTTCGAAAGGAGTACTTTCAATCCATGGTCGTACGAAAGATTCGCGGAAGATAAATTAAGAGAGGTTTTGTGCAGTAAAGAGTTAGAAGCAAATAGCAGGGTGAGGAACAATGATATTGAACTGAAAAACGGCATCATGCGAAATTCCGCATCACAAAGGGCTTTCAAGATTCCTGAAAATAAAACTAATGTGGAAATAAGAGCAAGCGCTGATAGCGAAAAGATCTACAAAGAAAAAAGAGATTTTCGTATAAAGAGTATTTCAAAATGATAAATATTAGAATGATAATTGAAGTACTTCACAGAAGAACTAAATTTTGTGGCATAGATCATTAATTTATTCTGTGCTCAAACTTTAATAGAAGAACTTGAGGCAATATAATGATAATCCAATAAGATGAAGATGTTTCTGTGCATTGTGTAATTGCTATTCCGCAAACTTGTAAAGCACTTACCTGGAAACGACGGGGAAAAAAATTTTGAAGTTAAAATGTTCCCTCTGGAAAAAAGTGTGGCTTATCATTATATTGCCTCAAATCAGTAAAAAAAAAAATTGCTTGTTTCATAATTATTTTGTTGGTGTTTTTATACATTCTAAAATTGATTTTTCTCAATATCAGTAATGAGCCCTTCCATAATAGAAACAATTGCAAAGGTTTTTCGGAGGAGGTTTAAGTTACGTTGGTGTAAGGTACATTATTTTTGTTCTGCAGATATAATGGCAAAACCTAAATGGTGCGAACAAAATCGGCAATAGAGACGCTCTGCTTACATTTTATAGGCAATGCCTGGCTCCAAATAAACATAAAGAAACCATCCATTAAATTGCACCAATCTTTTTTAGAAAAAACAAAAACAATAAGATTAAAATGTTAACTATAATTTTAGGAAAAAAAAACTTATATTAGTTCAAAAAATAAAATTCACTTTAATCATACACCCAAGTGACTTGAGAAACAAAGAAAAAAATGTAAAATCAAATTGTAAGTACAGACTTAAGAAAATAAATTTTCATGCAATGATGCTTTATAAATAACATTACATAACCTCAAAAATTACGTGTATTATTAACTAATTAAAAACGCAGAAGAAAATTTAAAAATGATGTTATATAAAATGGAATGTCGTTATAGCTATAGTAACAAAATATATTAAATGCTGATATATAAATTATCAAGATTTAAGTTTTTTTTTTCTTCTTAATCAAAAATAGTTATAAAAAAATGAAAAAATATCTTTTTTGAAAAAAAAAATTTGCTTGAAAAGTTAAATTAATTAACTAATTAAAAGAATTTTTAAAATCAGTTTTGTATTTTTAAAATTTATTACTAATATTTTTATTTTACTGTGGTGGAAAAATTTAATAACTGCAGTGTTTGGTTCTATAGATTTTCTAGCATCTTGTCTCCAAACATCTGTTATTTTTTTTTAATAAGCCAATAAACTGGCCCGAATCTTCAGTTATCAAAGTAAATTACACCAACTGTAACCTTAACCAGTCTATCTTAACAATTGGATTCATATTTCCCATCATTAAACTGTGTTTCTGATAAAGAGATATAAAACACATCAAGTGATGCCTAGTTAAATAAAGAATCACAATTTCATAGTATAATTTAAATAGTAAATTGAATAACTTTCAATGAATGTTTTCATAAAGATAACACTAGAAAAAGTAAATTATTCCAACAACGGACATTGTCATATCTTTTATTATTTTCATCTTGTTTGTCTATCATGTTACTTAATGATCATATTAACTAGTATACATTTTCAGTTTGAATTATTTAAGAAAATATCAGGTTAAAAAAAGTTTTTTCAGGATTTAAAATATGTTAAAATAAAACGCGTTTTAAACTAGAAATTATTTCCTAATTACTATGAAAAAAATATGATAAAGAATTAAGGCTGTTATTCGAAGGCTCCGTCGTTATATGAAATAATGTTATTTTGCGAATATATGTTATTTTTATAACTCCTGTGAGTTTGTAACTGTTATGTTAAGTTAAGCCTATCTGAAGCCAGCGCTGTCTACCATTATTTTACAAATGGCGCAAAACATCAATATGGAGAAAAGTCACAGTTTGGTAAACATAAAAGGCGTTTGTCCTTTGTGGTGTAATTTTTTAATATTTAAAAACTTAGACCAATGCTACACTACCTGGGCTTATACAAATGTGCAAAAACTGGAAATAAGGCAGTGATTTTGATAATTTTCATCTAGGTGGAAAATTATTGCCAAATTGGCGATTTTTTAAAAAGTTCAATAATTTTTAAAATATTTAAATTATTTATCTGTGCTAAAGCCCAGATAATTCTTCAGAGCAAGATCATATATATAGTTTAAAATCATTGCATTGCTTCGAGTGTAAGTCACTTAAACTAAGGATTTTTTATTTTCCTTGGTGACAGAGCTTCGGAATACAGCATTATATTTAGAATAGGGGACGCAATTTTAGCCCGGATGTTGCAACCTTCTCAACAGCATCCCCAATGCGGTCCCGATAAACCAGCAACCTGGACTTGATAAGTTTTTTTTTTAAATTTTTCAACAAAACAATTAAAGTTTGGATGATAAAACTGGAGATTTTTATTGAATTAAATGATAAAAAATTTGTCCAAAAGACTAAAAAATAAGTAACGTACTCTCAAGCCTAAATATCTTCCTCACTTCATAAACAAAATTGTTCATAGTTTAAAACAACAGTATGTTGGTATGATGAGCTACAAAGTAGACAAATCAGTCAAAATACTCAACACGTGCCCCACTGAATGTTGGGAAATCAATCCAAATAACTTTTAAAATGTTTTAATCAGCAGAAACAAACAGGAAATAAAAAAAAAAATTCTCTTAAATTTATAAAGCTGTAGTAGAAATGTCTTTTAACCTCCCAAATAAGGTCTTTGTTAGTGCAGATCTTAAAACTGAAAAGTTTGGAGACCAGATAATCAAATGCAGATTATTTACTCTATAAAGAGATAAAACACAAAAATTTTTCATCTGTTTATAGTATATAGACTGTGCAAGAGAAATTTATAACTATTCATCAATAAAAAACTTTAAACAAAATATATATTTCTCAAACAAGTTTTTAAGTTGCTTATTTACTTGTTATAAAATTTAAGTTTCCATTATTTTGTTTGTATTGTTAAGAATTTTGTTTTTAAACCTGGCTGTGATCTACAGAGGATACCGGAAGAAACTTTTTCACTAATCTGTTAAATGGGATGTTCCGTAATCCTATAACTCTTCATTAAATATATAACTCTGGAATCCTAGTCAAGTAAAAATATAATAGGGATTGAAGAAATCTGACAATTTATGAACAGTAACATAAATTGATATTTAAGAAAGAAAGAATAAAAAAGTCATCGAATTAAGGTGTATCACAATCTGAGAAAGAAGGGATTAAAAACAATGCATAACCTGACAATTGGAAACACTTGAATTTTCTTCTGGCTGTTTGATTTTTTACTTTTTTTAATCCCGCCACCCTCTGATTGTGATCTAACAGATTTCGAATACATTTCCCCCCTTCTTAAGGTGTGACCTCTAAAGATGCAGACTTCTTTGATATGATAAGGATTCTAAAAATATTTATTAAGGGCGGAGATTGCAGAACACCCTATGTAATTCTTACTGTTTGATGTTGATTCATAACACAATTCGTTTGTTTTTTGTCATTGTTTGAGAGATTTTGTTTATTGTGTTTACATTTCTATTTCACAAGTTATGTCACCAGTCATAAATAATTTATTTAATTTATATATTAAGTGTATCCGTTTTGTATTTGTCAACTATTAAAGATTGCATTAGAAGGATTTTGTTTTATTTGAAATTTTCTTACTAAGATAATACCAGGTATTTTAAAGTTCTTCTAATTAAAGAAAACTAACAGCCAGTTGAGCATATTATGTTACCTTATGGCAGTGTTTTCCAAACTTATGACTTTTGTGTACCCTTTCTAAAATTTTCGTAAAGCTGTGTACCACTAATAAAAAATTTAATTTATATTTTACTATAAAAAAAATTGCACGAAAGTTAAAAATCACAACTGGCTGTTGGCACCACTAATTATTAACTATTAACTCTGCAAAAAATAGCCAACAGAAAAATACGTAATCGTAAATTTTCATGGCTAGCTTTGTTTTTAAATTTTCGTTTGTTGCAAGATATTTCGCATAAGAAAGCGTACCCCCACTAAACTGTTCCCGTACCCCTGGGGGTACGCGTACCACACTTTGGGAAACACTGCCTTATGGTGATTAAAAGTAGAGTGGTAGTTGATGTAAAATACTAATATAATTTTCTTAGCTGTTGCACTAGTTTTTTTCTTCTTTTAAATGTTTCAAAACGTAATTATGAAGAGTAAATAAATATATTTTATTAAAATCTAGGTAAATGAAATACTATATTTAGATTAAGTATAATAGATTACCATTATAAATGTATGCAACTATTCTTAGCAGCAAGTTTTTTTCTTCCACAATGGTCAGTTTAATAAGAAATTTAGATCAAACAATTAATATTTATATAAATAAAGGATATTGGCACTTAATAGTAAAGTTTAAAAAAAATTTATATTTTTCAGTAAGCATTTTATTTTTTAGACTAACATTTATTTAAAACAAAACAATTTTAGTAAAAATTATGTCTTTCACTAAACAATAAAAGGAAATACACATAGAAAGAAAATGGAAAAAGAAAAAGCATTTCGAAATTTATTCTGCAGAAATTTTTTTATGGAAAACCGTATACATGAATAACTTTTCATAAAACTACATATAAATTTTTTTATAAATAACTGTTTTTTATTTCTTTAAATTTTATGAAAATACATGAGAATTTCAATGTATTTCTTACCAAAACACGCAGGAAAATATCCACACGTTTGTATGCTAATAGCACTGATTAAGGGTATATATACCTATAATAATTTAATTTGCTATTTTCTAATTCATTTGTAAAAATTGGTTGTTGAACTAATTAAATCAAGGTAATTTAAAAGAAAAAATAATAATTAGCATACAATAACAAAATATTACACTTATTTTTTTATAAAAAAAAAGTAAATTTCTCTTGTAGCAGTTAGTTGTCCAGCAAGAGGGGTCATAAAGATTATAAGGCTCCACAATTTACCCAAAATGGAATTTTAGTGAAAATTTGTGAGGTTTCTAATAATTACCTTTCAATTCCTCTGTTTCCTACGGCAATCAACTGGTTTTGAAATCACTAATTATTGATAGCGTTTTAGTTACTTAAATATTAGTTAGGGTCTGATTATGTTTTAACTTTACTTTCTTTAAGAACATATTAAGGGTGGTGATTAAACAACCCGAACAAACTGTTCTAGATTTTTAACACATATAAAAAAGAAACTAAACACTTTTAACAAGATTTAATCTATTTATTGGTCACAAAACACTGTGTACAACAGAGTGGATACACTAATCACTTCTATCAGAAGCAAATTTTTCTCCGTCAGGAGCGTGAACAGATATCAGACAAAAATCAAAGCTTAAAAAATAACTGCCATAATATATACCTTATACTAGTAGTACATACAAGTCATCATATTTTCAAAAGCATTGACATAATTACTGTACAAACCTTAAAATTTAAATAAAGAGTGAATAGCTGAAATAAATGCAAGGAAAGTACTTAAAAATATTATGTAAACAAAATAAAAAAAGAGAGTATTTAAAAATATTTAATATTAATTTTAAGGATTTATCAAAATTCAAATCTACTTAAACAAACTAAAAATTTAAAAATTATAATTCATCATTCTATTTTCAATGTTAACAAAAAATATGTTTAGAAAATATTAAGATAAAAAATAATATTTAATGATTATTGAACAAATATTCAAATATGGATAGACTGCCTAACACTTAGTGAAAAATCAAAGTCTTTAAAAAGTAACTTTCACAAAACACTTGTTGCGTTATTGTGTACAAATCCAAATATTTTTTTTATTTTCTAACAAAACTCAAACATAATGATTCAAAAATTTATAAAGAATGAATCGTTATAAAATAAAAGCAATTTAAAAAAAAAAATCAGATGTACTAATATGCTTACGCAATTAAAATAATCAAAACTGATTTTAATCACATTTTGAAAAATTACAAAATTTTCAAAGCTATCTCCTTCAAAATAATTAAAATTTTTCTCAGATCATAACAATTACTTGAAAAATAACTAATTATAATAATATTTAAAAAAAATTAACCATAAATTAAATTTTAAAAAACATCGTTTAACACTGCATGTAAAGTAAAACTTGGCAATATATTGACTAGCTAAATATATGGAAGAAAACAGTATTATAACTAAACATGCTTTGGAAAATTCCTATCAGATCTTTTTATGAAAGAAGAGTTAAAAAGTTTATTTTTAGGGACAAATCACAAAGATAAAACAAGGATGACATAGAAATAAAGTAAATCTTTCTTTGGGTTAAAATATAATAGAAAGTGGTTAATGTAAGTAGAGTAAAAAGTGAATAACAGACTGCAGGTGATATATTTCAACTATAAATAATCATATTTTACAGAAATTTATATAAATTTAGCTATAATTTAAGATGAAATTAAGAAATAGCGTGAATGTTTCATAATAATTTTGTGATACATTTAAAAAATTATATATAATTTTGAATTATTCATTCATAGAAAAATATTTATTAAATGCTTCTTTTATTTATTTTTAATATTAAATCCTTAAATTAACGTCCAAATTTATCAACGTTAATTTAATACATTTAAAATGAAATTGCAAATTTAGCAGTTCTAATGCTTTAAAAATGTAACACACTTTTATAATTTGATAATTATTACACATAAACTAACAGTCATACTTTAAAATTACCGATTAATTATTGAATTTATTTAAAATTAGAGGATTACATATTAAAATTTGATTAATATATACGAATAATTACAATAATGAAACAGAGACATTTTAGTATGAATTACTGAAAAAAAATGCAATTTACTACATTTAATTTCAATCTTCTCTTTTTTTACAGTTCGAAAAATATTACTGAATAATGTGAATATTTTTTTTATAAATATTAAAATAATCAACAGAAAAAGTTATTGATAAAAATATTACTTTTAGAAAAATTCACTTGAAAATAAATACCAAACTCAATATCACTATATTCTTGAATAAGAGTTATTAAAATTGACAGTTTGAGAAATACTGTTTCATAATAATGTGGTAATTAATATTTGCAATAAGTACATATGAAAAATAGCAAAATAGGTTTTTAACCATAAATATTTCAATACTATTTATGTAAAGAGAAGTTAGTGAGACAACTAAAAATAAATATGAGGACAAGGAAACTTTTTAGTAATTGTTTGTAACTAACTTCATAGTAATAACTTCATAAAATATAAAACTTTGAAACAAAATAATATTCTGTTTAATAAATCAGATCTTGGTTCACCGGTCGTATAAACGCATTTAAAGAATAAGTAAGAGTTAATGTAAAAGAAAAACAAGAACATAAAGCAATAAACAATTGTAATTTAGAGAGTTAAGTAAAAGGTACATTATGATGAAATATGCATATAACAGAAGAAAAACAAAAATATAACATAAAAAAAGAGATTCATAATAACGGAACAAAATAGATAGATTCTTAAAGAGTAACAATTAGACAATATCTTATCAGAACCAATATAACTTTGCTTTAGCGATATAAAACAAATTCATAACATGAAAAACTAAGGTGGCAAGAGAGTAAGAAATAATCAGGTAAAAAGTAATAAATATGTAAAGGTATACCTATTAGTAAGAAAATATCATTACTATAGTTAAACATAACTTCTTAAAATACAGTAAAGACTTTCTATAATGAAATCTACTGATCTTAGTTGAAAAATTTTCTACCAAGAAAATTTTGTTATGCAGATCTTTGAATACTAAAACAGAAATATTTTTACAATTATTTAAATAAATGTTAAATTTTTTTATTTAGAGGGAAAAGTTCATGACTATATAATTATGTTTGTAAATAAAATAAAAATGATTTAAAACCTGTGCTTGAAATAGTCATGTTCCTACACATAGAATCATATAGTTACGCATTATTCCTGGAGATAGACTCTAGATACAGGTACAAAAATTTCAGATTTCACAGAAACTCCAGCTACCAATTGCAATTTTCTTCAAAAAACAACAAATATCATAAAAATAAATTTATAATCTGAAAAATTCCGAAAATAACAAAATTTGAGAAAATAAATGTCTAACACCTTCATTATAGATAGACAATCATTTTGTCACACGGAGAACATTTTGAATGTTGTTATAGCAGTATTCGTTACTGGGACATTTATTTCCTTTTAGTGTGAAATTCGGTATAGGGAGGATTTCACGGTAAGGAGAAACTACTTTAGTTATGTAAAAAAATTCAAAACAAAAGTAAGTAAGATAAAAACAATTACTTAAAATGCAAAGGCACAATAGCCTTTTAAACTGTTTCAGTACGTTTTAAAGAACCGAAACAAAAGACTTTTGTTTGATGCTGTTTAGATAATTATACATATAAAAAAACACCTTCAGATAAATAACAGTTTCTCGAATGACATTTTTTAGACAACTATAAAATTCCTATGTGCTATTTTCATACTCAATTTCAGAATATCTCTGGAATTATTTGACCTCGTTTAAAGCAAGATAAGTTTTTCAAAGATGCAGAATATACTTTTATACATGGAAGACAAGTGTAAGTATTAGTTTCACAAAGAAGTATTTTAAACAGACATATAGGGATATCTCCAGTCAGGTTGAGGCACAAATGTCTCTTTTATAACTTGTGGTGTTGTCCATTTAAGCATGTAATGCGGGCCTCCAGCTTTATCATTGGTACCTGCAATTCATTGTTTCACATAAAAATCAAATGTTCCTTTTTTTAATTATGTATTAGAAATAAATTAAATTAAGTAGTCGCACAAAAACACTTTAAAAAATACAAATAAATTTTGTAATAAGCAAATTTATAGTACATAAAATATTTATTTTAAAATATTAGAAAAAAATTATTTTACAACTGTTAGATTTTATCTTACCTTTTGAACAACAATAGTGTTTAAACTAACATTATTTTCTACTTTTAGGAAGAGATAGTGCTACAAAAAGTTAAAAATCCTAATATGTGTTAAAGATTAAATGTAAACAATAAAAAAGTTTTGCAAAAGATTTACTTTTTATGTTACAATATTTTTTGTCAGTTACTCAATATAAATGTTAAACATTAGTCTCAAGAATTAGAAAAAACTAAGAAACTATACTGGCTGATATTAAATCCATTATTTTTATGTGTATGCCTATCAAAAAAATGTTGATAAAATAGTTCTTGATATTACTAAACAGTTGTTAACACAGTTGTAAGCCTCACAGCAAGACTGGAAGAAAAAAAAAATTCAAAAATTTTTTTGTTGGTATTTTTAAAACAAATGTGTCTTAAAATAAGTTTCCTTCACACTTAAAATGATAATAAATAATAATTAAAAAAAAATTAAAAATATGTATTAAAAATATAATTATTGGCAGTGCTTACATTAGATATAAATATGCATGAAAAATTTAAATAAAAAAAGAATATTTTTTACTAAACAAGAAGTTTTATTTTTCATACACTAGCATAAATACTAGTATACTCTAGAAAAGAGGTCCCCAACCCTATGCCCGCGGGCATCATGGCGCCCGTTGATCGATCTAGATGCGCCTGCTGCCTGTGCCCAACAATAAAATATTTCCATTTTCCATTAAAATGCTATGCAAATACATACTAAAGTACGTTGGCTCAGTAAAGGCAAAGTACTTGATAGATTTCTACATTTAATAAAGTAAGGCAAGAAGGGGAGATCGAAGTTTTGGATCTTCAGAATGACGTTATCTTCAAAACTACTATATCAGATGAGAAATTCTGGAATATAGTTGATAGAAATAAATTCCATTATTAAAAAGAGCAGCATATAAAATTAAGTCGTTTTTAGGTTCCACATACTTGTGTGAATCATTGCTTTCAACAATCAAAATCAATCAAAATATAGACCCCAAATTTCAGATGAACACCTTGACGATTGCTTACGAGCAGGAATTTCATCATATTCTCCCAATTATGAAGCGCTGGTCAGTGAAATGCAATGAAGATCACACTGACTGTCTATCAACTATAAATTTATCTTGAAAAAATAAATAGTGACCACCATTTGACAGATATTCTGGTATTTGCTCTTCAGTACAAAAAGGTTGGGGACCTCTGCTTTAGAAAATGCATAGTATAACTAGTACATATTAGAAAATGCAACTTTTCACTTTCCACATTTGAATGAGCACCAACTAAAAACTATTATGTACAATCATTCACAATTTTTCATAAGTAAGCCTTGCTATATCAGCTGTCAAAATATATACTAATTATGCATCTGAAATGTGAAAAAATACAATGCAGTCCTATGCTGGGAAAAAACGAAATTACTTTTTGACAATCCAAAACAAAATGATTTTATATATTTACTGCAGGGAAAGTTCTGAAACAAAGTTTCATCCTGCTTTCCTTAAAATGAGCCTAATAACAAACTAATTTACAAGCTTTTGTACATCTTTTTCACATAGTTAGCATGGACTTAAATGAATTTCCTGTACAGTGAGATTATTTTCATGAACATTCATTACTAAGTTATGCAGTAGTAGTTTTTCATGAACATTCGTTACATATTTAAAGACATTTTTTATAGTCTGCTGCACTTTGAAATGATGTTCTAATTGTGCTGATTTTACTTCAGAAAAAAAGTTTAAGCATGGTGGGTAAAAATCAGGAGTATAAGCCAGATCTCTCCCATGCTGGATAACAAATAATACTTTTGTCTTCTTCTGAGCATTTATTTTTCTGTAATAATGATTTGCACTTGACTGTGCTCTGGTATGGAAATATGCTTTTTATTTGTTGCTTCTTTGGACATAAATTCGATAAAATTTATGGTAATGTTTATTTCTGTTAGCCATACCAAAAAATTTTATTTTGGGGACACGGAAAGTTCAAGCAATTTAATTCCCTCATGCAAAATAGAAAAAAAAAGCATACTAATAAGATTTTATTCAATAGTCAAGAGTAAAAAATTAAGTATCCCAAAATTTAAACCATCAAAAGAAAGTACATGGGAATTTCAATGATATGAGTAAAATGCAGAATGCTGTAAAAAAGTGAGATATACCTGACAATCTACTTCCACCAAAGGGTTGTTGACCAACAACAGAACCTGTTGACTTGTCATTGATATAAAAGTTTCCAGCAGCATTTTTCAAAAACTCAGTAGCATATTCCAAAAACGCTCTGCAATTAACAGGAGGAAAAAAAAGGTTTAAACTTTATTTAACGACAAAACAGCATTTTTACAGTCTTATGATATAAATAACAAGCAATGTTAAAAATGGACGCAAAAGCCTAGTAGTCATGATAATGTCTGAATAAATTACTTAACGTTTTCCAGAATGATCAGACTATGCATTACACACCAGTTTAACTTTTTGCTCATTTAATATTTGGACAAATGTTCAGTGAATCTTTAGCAGCTCGTCATTTGAAATATGTTGTCCTGGCTTTTTGTTGTTTGATTTAACATGAGCAGCAATAGTAAACAAACACAAAAACAAATAATGACACAAGTAAAGATAACTTTAACATCAAATCAGTTCGTAATAGTTAAATTGTTCTCAGTTTAATGATTAAAATATAAAAATGAAATTTTGAAATTCATTATGATAATCAGAAATTAATCATTTTATCAAATACAGCCAATTAATATTCAGACTATTTCTTCAAAATATTAATGATAATACAAAACCATTAATATTTTAAAGAGAAAATTAAAACATTACATTCTTTTTACTTAAAACAAATTACATTGCCAAAACATAGTCTTCTCAAACTTTATTGGCCTTTAATATAGTTAAACAGCTTTTGAAATTTTTGACTGAATAAAATGATTATGGCATGATATCTAAAATAATACAGGACACAGCAGGGCTTGGAAAACCGCCCGTCCTCGGTGATAAAAAATTCCCCGCAAACAACGAATTTCTCAAATTCGACGTCCGTGCGGGCAGCCATTTTCCCGTTAATGTTCGTGATACACTTTCAATTTTTGTTATCTTATGAGAGTCTAGGGCCTCACTTCTAAAATGACCCTCTAATCTAGAAATCTACTTAATTCCTTCGTCACTAGAAATACTAGGTTACTATTAGTAACGTAGTATTAGTATAGTAACCTAGTATTACTATGTTACTATTAGTAACCTAGTATTTCTTTTATATCTGCATAGCGTAATCCTAGTAACTACTAATTCATTGTGCAATTTATATAAATATTTGTAATAAAGAAGAGAAAATTATATTTTTATTTATTTAGAAGCTACGGGTTAGTTTCAAAGGAGGACGGGTACATTGTTGGACAAGCCGTCCTCGGGAACGGGTAAAATTTCTGAGTTTTTTCGAGCCTTGTGACATAGTTTAAAAAAATTTGCTCAAATAGCTCATTAAAATTCTATTTTTAAAATATTGGAAATTTTTCAATATTTTTTCTTAGTAAAGAGCAGGTTTTATCACAATCGCCAAAAAATCAAAGAACTATAGTTCCTTACCACAAAACAATGTAATGCAATTAGTCGATTTTTTGGCAGTTTCCTGTTTTCTTAAAAACTGCCAAGTTGTGTAGTCACAAAATATACTTATTCATTTTTTAAAAGCAAAATAAGCCTACTAATTTCTAATAAGAATATGCATTAAAATTAATATATAAATACGACACTTTGCTAAATTAAATCATACACAGCAATTATTAATAGCATAAAAGCTTAGGCAAACTTACTGATCTTGACCAAAGATAGCTCCAGTTAAAGCATACTGATTATCATTCACCAGCTCTAAGGTCTCTTGTAGGGAAGAATCTTTATAAACATATATAACTAAGATGGGACCGAATATTTCTTCTTTCATAATCATATCACCAGCATTTTCAGTCTCTATTATTGTAGGTTCAATGAAATACCCTTTGCTAAATTATGAAATAAATTACAAAATAAAACTCATGGGTATTGATTAAAACAAAGTGAAATAAATAAAATACAGTTGAACCTTTATATAATGGACCTGACATACAGTAAACACTTCGCTGCAGTTGCTGAGTGAACATTTTTAGTGGTCCCTTCTGAACTCCCATTTAGATAATAATGTTACGCTTATAGTGGCAACTGAAAAATTGGTCGGTCGTTTATAGTGGAACCTAATTTCATTTTCTCAGTTTTCTATTTCTCTTCATTTTTATAACTTTAAATTTGGGGGAGTTGTGGTTGCAAATGACGGAATTTCTTCACATTTTGTCAAATCTTACTATTCCATCTTCTTCGTTCTTAACTGTAATAAGTTGTTTAACAGCACAATCATTTAACATTAGTGCACAGTTTAACGAAGTTGCTTAACAGCACATACTAACCCCCAAGGCAGTAGAAGAATGATAAATTTTGGCAACTTTTATATTAAAGGTGAAATTAGGATTAAACATTCTGATATTTTTTTAATGCAGAAAATGGGGACTGAATTTTTTTTAGATATTTTACTAATTGTTGATATGATATTTGGTAAACTTTACTTAAAATTAAACCTAGCCTAATGATCTCTAATGACCATAGCCTAATGATCTCTAGCTTACAAGTTAAGGGGTATTTCTTCACTTTTAATGTTTTGTTCCATTTCAATACATAGTTTCATTTTTTAAAATCAGATATGGTTAAGTCATAAGTAGCGATGCCAGTATTCCTCACTGTTTAGTCTCAATTGCATACTAGTCCTTTTAATGCTCGGGGACAGATGGATAAAGTAGTAAAATTTTTCCTATAGCTCGTTGGGGTAACATTACCCAACAACAAAATTACATGAAAATTTAAATATAAAAAGTCTACAATCATATTCCTTTAATGGCTATTATTCACAACTCATATATGCTAGATACTGTGAAACTTGTAGGAAGACTGCATGGCCCACACTTAACATATTTACACTAAGATGAGAAAAGTTTGTCAGGCGACTTATGTGGAAGTGTGTGAGTGGGTGGTAAAGGTGTGCGATGGTGTATCAACCAAGACTGTGACAAATGCTTTTCGAAAAGAAAAAAAACTATAAAAACAATCAGTTTTCACATTTGGTTTATCAGTTCAGTAGAAGAATCACTGTTAGCTAACCGGAGTGTTAAAGTGATCAACTAAAAATATCCCAGAAAGCTACTAGTAGCTTGCTGGGATATTTAGCTTTAGATGAACGGCTTACCGCTTTAAATGAGCCTGCAACCACTGATTTAGATGAAATATAAGGATTTTATGAAATTTTTTATATAAAATATAAAGCCTACCACAAGACAATGAAACATTTAAACATCTAGTATGTTTATAAGAAATTCACCACAAAGAAATGAAGTGAAAAGGATGAAAGCAGCATAGTAAAGAGTAATCACAGAAGCTGATTAACTTTAGCGGAAAAAAAATGCTTTACAATGTATTATTTTTCAAACAGAAGCAGTAAGAAAGATTTTGCCAAAGTACCTGTCGTCACATGTTCCTCCAGCCAATATCTTCAGACTTGGTGAAGATTTTGCATGATCAATAAATCCTTTAATTTTTTTGAACGCCCTATCATCAATGACAGCGGAAACAAAAGTATCCGGCTCAAGAGGAGAGCCAACTTTGATTTGATTCCTGATTTCTAGCAAACCTTCTTTAATCTAATTTAAAAAAAATTTAAACAAATTTCATTTTGAAACACTAGCATGAATATAAAAAAACAGAAGTCATCAGGGAAATATTACAACTAATAATAGTTCAGAAAAAAAAATTATCATTTTTACAAAATGAAAAAGCGAACAATTATGTCTAATTTTCGCAGGTAACAATGATAATTTCGTCACTATTTTAGCATCATTTAAAACATTTTTTGGAAACAAATCAATTTGTCAGCACACTTTGTTTTGGTTGAAAAGTTTAAGAAAATTTAAACTGTCCAACCTAGATGTAAACTTCGAACTGGAGGGAAATTTTTTGCAAGAAGAGCTTAAAATGAATTTTATTCCACAAAAACTTTTCATGTTTTTTAAAGATTAACAAAATGATTTTGTTTGATAATATAGTTTACAAAATAACTTATTAAAAGTCCAATAATAAACAAATAGGCTGCCAGAAATTGGTTTAGGTTCAAGATTTTGGGGAATTTTCTCTGCATTTTGAATTTTTAAATCATGATGATGAGAAATAATTATTCAACATTGTTTGGTTAATTAATAATATAATTAATATATGAATGGGGATTAAATTTTGAAATTATACAATATTTAACTGCTTTCTTCTTCTGTTGTTTTATTGGAATGATCAAATTACTATAAAAAAAAGTTAATAAAATATATATTCACCGCCTGTTTAGCACCATATTTTTTTTTTTTTACATCCAGTTTATCTTTCCATCAAATGAAGTGTAATTTTCCTCTGTTGTTCAAAGGCGAAACACTGTACAACTGAGAAATTTTAATACAAATTTACGAGAATTCAAGGTTTAACTCTCTGATATGATTAATACATAGGTGATTTGCATATGGTGTAATTTTCCTCTGTAGTGTAATTTTCCTCTGTTGTTCAAAGGAGAAACACTGTACAACTGAGAAATTTTAATACAAATTTACAAGAATGCAAGGTTTAACTCTCTGATACGATTAATACATAGGTGATTTGAATATGGAATAAAAATTCAAAATCTACCTTCGGCCATAGGCTTTCAGGAACATACATTCTATCCAAAGCAGAACATTTTTGACCACTGTATTCAAAGGCTGACCTAATAGAAGAGGCTACTACAGTTTGGACATCAGCAGATTTGTGAACAAAATGAAAATTCTTGCCCCCACATTCTAATGAAAAAGGTTAAAATAACGTAATTTGTTAAAAGCAAGTGATACATTATAGACTGATATGAAAGAGAAGACAGAAACATAAATACCAACTAGTGCTGAAAAGCAGATTTAACTCAGTAAGAATGGCAATTATATTCTAAGTATACATTTGGGTTTCTAATGTTTGATGAAAAATTGTTTAAACCATCACTATAAATCAATAATTAAAAGATGTGTGTAGGAAATGCATACTGCTTAAAAAATACAACATTTTAAACAGAAATGTTACAATATACAAATAATTAACTAATAAAATTACTGCAAATTTGTAAAAAAAATTTCATTCAATTGCAAATTTAAACAATATGTGAAAATGATAATAATTCTCATTACTTGAAAGTATTTTATTTCTTAATAACAGAAAATTAAAAAAAATAATAAAACTATCTAATTTAGACTGAATACTGTTATTTATTAGAATTTAAATGAAAATTAGAACAATTTATCAGAAGTTTGACAAGAGATTAGAACAGTTTTATGTATTGTTTTTTTAAAAAAAAACTTTTCTGAAAAAAAGCTATTTTATAAAATGCAAAACAACATGAAAATAACAGAAATGAAATTAAAATTAATTTTAAATAGAGGCAAAAATGCAGAACCTGTGAAATACCATAACCTCTAGAATAAAAATACAAAATTACCTTATTATAAGAGATGAATCTGTAACTTTAAAGAATAGATCAAAGTAAATAACACAAATTGAATGAATACATTTTTTTAAAGATAACAATAAAAATTTTTAAAAATAAACCTTTTAAAATGTGAAGCTTTCTTTTTTTTTAAAAAAAAAACAAGAAAACAAATAATAACAGAGCCACAAAGGTTATTTAAAAAAAAAAAATTTTTTTTTTAGTACATATACAGGGCTTGCGATAAGGACTTCATATTATTAGCCAGTAAATTAGCCAAATATCAAAAGTATTAACCAAATTTCAAAAGTTTTAGCCAAAGGCAAATCTTAATCTTATTGGAGTCAAATTCTTCTTCATAATCCTGATTTTATAAATTGTTTAGATATTTGATATTTGTTATGAGTGGGATAAGCAATATTATTTTAAACTGAAAATCAAATCATATGATTAAGAATTAGGTATTTTAAATTGCAAATAATAATATCATGTAAGCATGTATATAAGAGATGTAATATGTTACATCAATAATGAATATGTTACACTGATAATAATTTACATTAATAATGAAATCATTACTGTAAATTTACTTAATGAAATATACATGGATTTCTTTTTGCTAACTTTAAAAATTTTGCAATAAACTGTCATGTCACATTTAGGATATTTTCATGGTGTACGAAAATAATAATGCTGATAGATCAAATTTATGTTTTTTATTTAAGTAAAAAGCAGCTCATTTTTTTTTCATTAAAACTAAATTGTATTTATTAAAATAAATCTAATTAAATTAATAAAAATTTTCACAGAGATATTCAAGAGACAATCTAAAAACACTACATTAGGGAATTTCAAAGGACAATAGAATTTTTGTACTATTCGAATTTTGTACAAGTACTTACAATAGTGTAGTTCTATAAGATAGGATTTCTAGACACTGTTACTATAGTGTTCTGTAGTATAATAGAAGAAATTCAATGTTTTAAAAATATATTTTAATTTTCTCTTTCAAATTTTTCAAAGTTCATTTTTTTAAAAATTGAAATAAATGCTTTTTAAATTTAATGAAGCTTTGATTCTGCAGTTTTCAGAAATAAAAGGGGGCAAGATATATTTTAATCCAACAAAAAACAAACATACACATAAGAGCTAAAAGATAAATAACAATACAAAATGAAATACCTCCAACAAGTCTGGGAAAGTTTTTATACAGGTCTATTTTTTCAGAAGTCATTTTCCAAAGTATTTTAAAAGTCCTACAAAAATTTTTAAAATAAAATAAATGTAAGAGACAGTACAAAACAAATTTCTTTTAATCTAGAACATCATTTATATGCATTAATAATCTAATGAATCATAAAAAAAAATTAAAATTGTGAAGAAAGTATTTAGGTTAGTTTAATAAAAAAACAACATATTATCACAAAAGAATAAGAACAACTCGAATTTTTCCAGCAAACTTCAACCTTTGAATTTCAGAATAATTCAATCATATAAAGAGTATTATACTAAACAACTGGTAAAATATACCTTTCTTTTTTTATTCCAGTGACCTACTAGATGCTCCTAAAGCAAAAATAAATGTATATATAAGGGGCGAATTGAGACTTAGGAATAAACTTATCCCTACCTAAGGCTGCCAGTGAAATTAATGCCAGCAAGATGTGGGGAAGAGGTAATGACATCTCCAAATACTGGACCATCTGATGGAAGAAAATTGATAACACCAGGGGGAAATCCTGCTTCTATTAAAAGATTATATATCACAAAATTTGAAAGCACAGCAGTATCCGAGGGTTTCCACAATATAACATTGCCCTAAAAAGAACATTAAAATGAATATTCTAGTATTTAGACAAACATTTCATACAAGTGTGTGTAAGGGTCCCTTGCTAATAGCATTACAATTAAAAAATTTTAAAGTTATTGAGAAACAAAGTAGAACGGTAGAGAAACGTAACAATTAAAACAAATTATTTCCATTTGAATAATGTCAGCTAAATTATTTCTTAAAAATTAAATTTACTTCATAATTAAATGTTTATGTAAAGTAACTATTTATTATACTGTATTTAATAATAAATAGATGTAGCAAAAATGCAACATGCATCACATTTATTATACAATAATAATAAAACATTTACTACATTGTTTGAAATATCATTAATTTAATGTGTTAGCTTAAATTTAATTCAGGAGCAATTTAATCAAGTTGGGTAAAAACAATTTGATTTAAAAAGGCCATTTATAATTAATTAAAAAAGGGTCCTTGATATACAACTTATGCTCTTTAGTAAGAACCCCCCTTATTGAAAACCTTCCATTACAACGAACGATACAGTCCCTTTTGTTATTCTCTAGACTAAATACTATTTTAACGCCCACTAGAGCGTCTGAACTGGACGGTTCATTCCAATATAGAAATTGAAATTTAATTTTCAATTTTTAAGAATATTACTCAAAAACGGCATTAAACAGTTTTGCGCTTTCTAATCAAATATTTTTTCATTGACAGTAAATAGCAAATTTCTCCTGCATACACTCGACTGCTAATGGCAATACAAGAGCATCCACGACCGTGAAATGAATATAGCTCTCGCGATCAGCAAAAGCACGGTGATCTTAATACAACTCTCTCGATTTCTCACAAAACAGTAATGACACACAACTAGTGGTATCATTCATTGAATTCTATCACAGACATAATTCTGGTGGGGGAGGACTGTAGTGTATCTAGCACTACAAAAATATAATTCCAATTCACTAGTATATAAGAAATGTTAACTTGATTCTATGGTGGGGTACCTTTTCATAGATGAAGGTTGACATTGGCGATAGTTACCATCCCCACACTTTTTAAATTTTATTTTGGTTTAACGTTTCAGTTCTCTGGAAGTATGTTATTCAGTGATAATGACTGCTAACAGCCAGTATAAGGCTATATGCTTAACTGACTTTAAAAAATTTGAAGAAAGTGAATTGATTACATTGGTAGTGGATTTTGCCGAAATAAGTTCAGTTTTTAGGTGTAAATATTTGTTGTAGTTTTGAAAACTCGCATTATAGCGACCTTAGTTTATATAATTTTTTTGGACAACAGGGGTTGTTATATCGAGAGTAGATTGTATAAGCAAATTTTAAACTACAATTTCAAGATTAACTAACTTTTTACTTTAAAAAAAAAGCTAAGTTTCATAAACACCAATAAAAATGATATAATTATAAATATTGAAGAAAAATAAAATACCAACATTCTTATTAATATAAATGTACTTAATAACTAAAATAAAATTTAAAAACAAACCTCTCTAAAAGTGTAAAAAAAATTTTACGATGGCAAGTGGTGTAAATTAGCATGAAAATCTAGAATTTCAAATTCACAATTATTCTTTAATAAATTTGAAAATTATTCTTCATTAATAAAAAAAGTACATAAATACATTAACTGAGCATTTTTAAGAAAAACTGACAAACTAATAGCTAATATAGGTGCCATATTCTTTATTAAACATTATTATACTTCAAAAATGTTATGAATAATTATAGAATATTAAAAATACGTTTTTATCACTTGTCAATCAGTTGTTGATTAAAAACATTATTAATGTAGTATACATGGGCTAATAGCAATTATTAATACTGAACCATGATTATAAATATTGAAAAATTGGCAATGTACTAAATAAAAGCAATTAAAAATAATAAACTCAATTAATTACCATCAGTGTTGGACCAGTAGCAAGGTTACCTCCAATCGCAGTGAAATTAAATGGAGATATTGAAGCAATGAAACCCTAAAAATGAAATGATAAAGAATCAAGTCATCACTCGGAAACATTTTATATTGTTTGATGTATATTTTTACACAGAAAAAAACTTACAGCATTAAACAGAAAAAATACAGTTGTAAATAAAACATAAGTTTCATGTATAACCATATTTTTCTGCCAATATTGCACTTTTTTTTACATTATCATACATCCCTCTGTAAGATCATTATACAATTAATCATTACTTACCAAAGAACAAAAAATAATCATTTAGGTAAGAATGTAATCAGGTAAGAATGTACGAGAATTTATCAGTAAAGTGTAAGAATATTTCAATTATTTTTCAATTGAGAAGAAATAAACTGTCCCTGACTACCTCTCTTTAACTTGGTGTTAACATTGATATTTATTTGAAGAAATTTCAATAACTATTAATAAGTAGTGGTTGTTACAGATAGTTTATTTAATCTGAATAAAAAGAAGAAGTGAAATGTTTTAGCTGCCAGTATTCTCCAGTTAAGTAGCAGAAAGTCGAAGTAAAAAAATGCAGGCAATCATTTAATGACAGTACAAATAATGCTGGTAGGATATGTAATATGTTTAGTTGAAAAGAATGCGATATATTTTTCTTTATTATTAAGCATATCAAAAAAGGTATAGATACATAATGAAAATAGATGTTAAATACATAAAAACAAAAATAACGAAATAATAAATACAAAGTAATAATAGAAATAATTAACAACAAATTAAGTTTAAGTCACTTAAAGATTCAATAAAGTAAATGACAAAAATGAAACATTTAGACATAATAATTTCTTCATATAATAAGTTTGGAAGTGATATAAATCAGAATATTAATGATGGATTAAATGATCATGCATCAAATAAACAACACTATTCTAACCTCTAAACCTCGAAAACGGAATGAATTTACAGTAGATTTTGGATCTGGACTAATTGGTTGATACTTTGTCAATTCCTAGAAAAAGAAAAAACATATTTAATACTTAACTCTTAATTTAAGTATTTTATAAACAATACATACTTTAGAAACTAATTAGAAAATTATAACAAAATTTTCAAACTTGGGGAGCAAGAAAAATATGTAATTAAGTCACAGGTTAGTGAAAGTATGAAAAAATGGAATATTTACACATACAAAAAGAATAGCTAAAAATATTGTTTTACTCATAATCTGCACTGGTAAATGATTACAATAAGGGACAAAGTTGATCATGACAAATTGAAAAGAACATTGACACGCCTTTTCATCACCCTATATTGATTAAAATTGAAAACTTTTCATTATTTATGTTGCCTGCAAAGTTCAAAGCGAACATTCCATCAAACACCTAAGCCTTTCACAAAAAAAAAACTACAAAGTGTCCAATGAAATAAGAAACAATTAAACAAGTTACACAGTTTAGCTGTATGATAGAAGGCCAAATGAAAAAACACGAAACTACTCACAAATTTCTACAAATAAATTTGAATAATACCAGCAGTAAAATTACTCTCAGTTCTCCATTGAGGGTACTCAAAACCATAAATATTATTTCAAAATAATAAAACATTGCCACATTTGTACTTTCGAGGAAAAAAAATCTTAAAAGACAGTGTTATCATGACCACTTTTTTTATAATGAGCTTAGTCCACATCTATTATTTTAAAGAATGCTTAGGCATAACTGGCAGAGTTTGAAACCCAGTATTCTGTAGAATGCAGAAAATCGGTAAGAAAAATATGAAAAGATAATGCATTGTAAACATTGACTAAGCATTCGATAGAATGCCTAAAAACCAACCAGAAAAACATGAAATATATCAGACATTTTATAAAATGCTAAGTATTCTAAAGAATGCATGTTTCATAAATTTACAGAATACCTAGCATTTTATGTGTAAGGTTTATATTCTATTTTCTTTCAATATAACATTAGCATTTTTAAGGAATGAATAACTTTTAAATAATAATCTTATCATGACTTTGCCATAATTTGCCTAAACTGCATTTATTATTCCATACAATGCCTAGGTAAAATATATAACAATTCTCATATTTCTTAATTTAACTAAATCTGTAGGGTATTTTAAAAATACCCAGGGATTCCACTTCAGTGTTATAGCGTGTCAAATAATGTCATAAATGGCAAAGGGAACATGAAAAATAAAGTAAGATGCATTCCTAAAGACAGCATTTCTTGAATTATTTTTTAAGTAATTTTCCAGCATCATAAAAAAAACACCATGCAGGAAATAGAATTATATATAAATAATTCTTTCTTAGTCTCTTAACAGATTAAATAATTATAAATATGCATATTAATAGCTGGTTTAAGAGGTACAGCATTCGTATTTTAAATAGATATCTGTGTGCATTAAAAAGGGGCCCAGATATTTGGAAGTACTAAGGACCCACAGCTTGAATCATTGCCACATACATATTCTATAGAATATTTATGAATTCTTAGAAAAATTCTGAGTAACAAATTACATTGTTTTTTCTTGGTGAAAGGATTTGATCTGATCAGTACTAATTAAAAGTCTTGATAGTTCAAATGTAATTCTTTTTCTTGCTTTTAAATTCTTTGTTTAGTCAATTAGGAAATAAAATAATTATAAGTGTGCACATTAATAGATGGTTTCAGAGGTAGAGTATTCATGTTTTAAATAAAGACCTGTTTGCAGTAAAAAAGGGTACAGACTTTTGAAAGTCCTGGAATATAAGGACCCACAGTTACCAAAGCGTGGTGGAATCACTGATACCTATGTATTCTATATGTTGGTGTTTCATATATTTCATGCATCATACACAATACCTAAGTAAAGGGTTCTTATATTTCATACTGTGCCCAAAAATGCCAGGTATTTAATAAATGCTTGCATTTCATAAATTGCTGATAACATAATATACATATTTTCTATAAAATAAGTGTTAACATGCAGATAATTTTGAACAAATGTAATTTAATAAAGCATATAATTTTTTTTCCAAATGCGTTAGCAATTAAACACTGTAAATTAAGAGAGAAATACACGAGAGTGCTGCCCTTTATCGAGTGATAAATGTATATTTTATTTTATTTTATTTATCCTATTTTAAAACTAAGGCTTTTCGACACTTTATTTAGCGTGCTTTGTTTATTTAAACTTAATTCTGATCAGCATGAAGAATTTAGTTTAGTATTTTTCACCATTTTGGAAATAGAATATTCAGTCATTCACGAGTAAAGAATAACACTCAACAGACTATCTAATCAATCATGTATCTGGCAATAAGAAATACACAAAAAACTGAATTCAAAAGGTTCATTCTACTGTGAGTAATTGGCACTTTGTAATTAGATATTCTTAAATTAGTTCGATCTTAATAATAATCTTTTAAATGAGTTTTTAAAACATTTGGGAAATTAAAGAAAATACAAAATATATTTCTCTAATACTTACTGAAAAATTTCATGCTATTCTAATATGTATTAAATTAATAGAAAAATGAAAAATTTACTAACTTTAGCAAAATAGGCATTGAACCTAAGAAAATCAGCAAATTCTGCTGCTGCATCTATTTCAGCTTGAATTATGTTCTTCCCCTATAATGGAATAAAAATATCCTTAAAATGAATTAAAATATGAAAATTTAAAAAAAAAACATATAAAAAAAACATTTTTTAATTTTAGAAATTTCTAATAAATTTGAATATAAAAATTAAAAATTATAATAATTTATCCTATAACTTAGATAAGATGCTAATAAATGTTAGGAGAATTATAATCAGCTTATATGTACAGAACAAAGATAAAAGAATCCTTGAATTATTAGGGTACTTCAGAAAAATTTAAACATAATTGCAGACTACAGTATGACTTAACTAAGATATTCTGCAAAAATTCAATTTTGCAAGAAATAATTTAATTTGAATTTCAATAATTAATATGACCAACAATCTGAGATTAATCCTTTTTCTGTTATGTAGTAAGAAGTAACCAGAAATACTGACCTTTAGATACAAAATCAAATTGATTATATTTCAGGCTTTTCCCTATCCATACTCTTTAACCAGGAGGAATCCAATAATAGTTGAAAAACAGAAATTAAAGTTCATTTATATATTTCTCAAAATTGTCAATTTGGCATGAAACTAATTAGAAACTAGACTGGCCACTATTTCTTTTGATGGTCATGCACATGGACAGTCACATTTGCACATAGTCTTTTATCTACGTAAAAAGAATTTTTTTCTTTTCGTTTTCATATTATAAGCTAAAGAAAGATACAGCGGTTAAGTATTCTTTTTAATTTTCCGTCATAGCTGAAAAGCTTTGAAGCTTTCTAAATATTTTGCAAATTGGAAAATTCATAAAAGGGAACTTACTTTTACGTTAAAAAAAAAAGCTATTGGGTATTTGAGAAATTCTGTTGAGTCAATAATTTTATGAGATCTAATATTTATTGACTGTATAAAAGAAACAAAATAATAGATATTAAACATTAAGGAAGAATTACAGGTTAAACAAAGTTTCTTTCATTGGTGAATCTAATAGCAGAAATATATTTAATGATCTGTGAGTATTGTACAACAAACAACTGCATGAATAACATTAATATACAAAAAAATTTCTGTTTTTACGATTTTAATTAAATAAACAACTTTATCGAGAGGTATACACATCAACTGCAGTTTCTAATGATTAATTTAAAATTTTTTTAAGACTTTCTAAGATGCATTTATAACATCTACATGTAGTTTGGAGGAAGTGTTTATAATCACCAAATTCATACATTTATATCCTCCATATGCCATAAAATATTAAATAAAAATAAAATTATGTTTTTTTATCTACTTTTCAGAATGTAGTACAAAATTTCTCTCTTAACAATGATATAATAAAATTATATTTTATTTTTTAACTGTCATTGAACAGTCGGCCCAAATTATGGGTTTACGACTACTAATGTTCAACTCCGTAGCCTTGTTATTTTGAACCTAATCCAGAAGACAAGGGAACTCGTGGATCAAATATTGGGAGAAATTTGTTTTCTTGGAGGATTTTTGATGGAACTAACCCGCATTTGTGTTACATGGAGAGGAAGACCACAAGAACCTTCCACGGTTTGCCTGACGGCAAGGGGACTCTAACCCATGATCCGTCTGAGGATATTTCACATCAGCACTGTGGTCGGTGCAAGCCGTATGCAGAATTCATATCGACCAGCCATCGCTGGGATTTGAGCCCAGTTCACCTCATTCAAAGGTGAACGCTCTAGCTCCTGAGCCTGGCAGTTCTAATTAGACTATATGTGATAAATTTAGTTATTATTCTTACTTGTCCAAGCATTGTGGTGGCATTTAAATCCATTCGATATTTCCCACTGACAAGATCAGCTGCTTTATGGAACAATGAGATTTTTTCAGTCAGAGGTGTTCTCTCCCATTCTGTTCTTGCTTTCTGGCTTTCTGTAATTGCACTTCTGATCATTTCCTAAAGGAACAAATAAGGGTTTTTTTTTATAAAAAAAATAATAAATTCATATTTTAACAATACTGGTTAACCAAAATGTAAAAACATGTGCATAATGATTCGCCAATGAATACATACAGAAAAAAAAAACTATTTCAAATTAAAGAAAAAGAATACAGAACTCATAAATAAATGACACATGAAATTTAATCTGCCGTTCTGGTGGCCAAGTGGTTAGCATGCCTGACTGCGAAGCCAATGGCTGTGGGCTTGAATCCCACTCAGAGCATGGATGATTCTTTGTGTGTTGTGTGAATGTGGTCCACCCTATGAACGGGTATTTGTGGCAGTGTGGCGTGGGTAATGTTGCTCACCTTCGTGACTTTGGTTTACAAGTGCTAACTAGGTAACAATAAATGACCAACACTTCCGACATCTTCTAAGATGTAGAACAAAAGTTCAGTGCCAGCCGTTATTTGAAAAAAATAATAATCTTTTTCTTAAGGTTTTTATTCGCCCCATTCTGATAAACTTATATTAACATTCCCTAAACTAATTTTTAACCTTTTTCTTTCGACATTGTGCGAAAACAAATTTCAATAACAAAACAAGGAAGAGATAAATACCACTAATCACAAAACATTCTTAAGACATAACAAATCAGGACTTTCAACTTTAATGAATAACTTTCGGTCTAAATATAACCTAAAATGCAAACAAACTGTTGGTAAAACAAAAATTGATGGCTATGATTCATGAAAAACCTTCCCCCGTTTTTTCCGATGATTTTCTTCCCACAGACATTGACAATAACTGCCAATGTGGGATTTGAACTGTACATATGTGCACAGCTTAGAGAGATCTCCATATTCATCAAAATAATGACCAAGTTTGAGACAAGCAGGTAGTAGTAACTGATAATGGCTCAAAACTGAATAAAGTTTTATTTCCCTTTTTAGCAATAGCTTACTACCACTTACTGTTATGATAAATTTTTATCATATTAGAAAAATAAGAAATTTTTAGAGAAAACATTAAGTAGCACAGTTGGTTATACCTTTCATAAAGGGCAACTAGAACATAGGCTGTTTGTCACATTACAACAATGGTACTAATCAGTAAATGCTATTATACTTCACTTAAAAAACGCAGTTTTATTACTTTGATAAGATTCTTTCTTTGCAATCAATACTACTCAAAATCTCTTTAAACATATAACAAAAAATCTTAATCATTTTATTTTTAGTTAATAGAATTAAATCAATGATTTTAAATATACACATTCTCTATATATTTATTTTAGTTTATAGAATTAAATCAATGATTTTTACTATTGACATTCTCTATATTTAAACACTTTTAACCGCAAACTTCAAAAGTTGATTGAATGAATGTGTAGTTAAATTATACAAAAGCCTACAGCAAAAAAATAACAATTTGTATTTACTCATTGAACCAACACTAAAACCTATCAATTGAAAACAAAAAAAAGGAGAGCAACAAACAAAAAAGTATTAAAATATTATATTTCATAACAAAACAAAATTTTATTTTATTATCGTTGTGGGGAGAGTAGATATCGACTAGGTCAACCGTCATCTATGAAAAGGTACCCCAACATAGAATCGAGTTAACATGTCTTATATACTAAGTTATTGGAATTGTATTTTTGTAGTGGTAGACACACTACAGTACAGTAAAGAATTATGTCTGATAGAATTCGATGAACAGATTCCACTAGTTGATTCATTGCTGTTTTTCGAGAAGACGGGAGAGCTGCATTAAGATCACCGCACTTTTTAGTGTTGAACGTGAGTGCTACGGTCGTGGTCGCTCCTAGGTTGCCATTAGCAGTCGTGATTATATAGTAGCAACAGCGCAAGGAGTTGGTAATGTCGCAGTTACAAGTCAACTGTTAAATGTGGTCCTTCCCTTGAAGTAGGCGTGTTCAAATCGAAGTGGGAGTTTCTGTCTTAATATTTTTCCTTTTTATTTAATAAAAATATATTTTTTAAAATTTCCGTGATTCCTTTTTTTAGAACTATGTTTAATGTAGTTTTTAGTTCCACATAGTTTTCTAACTTAAAAATCTATATGAAAATCGAGAGAGAAACTAAGGTACTACCTTCCTCTATGACTCTCCGCACGCTAGAGGGGAAAGCATCTGAAGTGTTGCCATAGGTAGAGAGTTCTGCTCTACGCCACCTACAGTTCATTTCGACTATTCCGATGCGCAGAAACACCGATGCAAGCTACAAGCTTGTTTCAAAATTTAAATAAATATCTTACGACAATCTCTAAAGCTTTACTGCTGTTTGTTTATTGCGAAAAGTACTGCTGCATTCATAAACGAAGTTAAATAAAAATAGAATTGTGTTTTATTCTCTTCTTATCGTTAATTAAATTTTTTTTTTTATGGAAGGAGCTGAATCCGATTCGGATGATTGGGTTATTAATTGTAGTGATGAGGAATTAGTATCAACTTCGGAAACACAGGAATCTTGGGAGCCAAGTCCACAAGAAATATTGAATATGTATGAAATTCTTGAATCCAACAGTGTTTTGGAGTTAGAATGGCGATGTCCTGGCCGAAGATCTCCAAGTGTTAATTCTAATAAATCAGATTTGTTAGAGAAAGGTTCAATATCGGATGAAGATAGCAATAAACAGTTAGTAAAAAGCTCATTCCTTAAAACTTTTAAAATATTTTTATTTAATAATATTTTCAATTAAAGTATCAAAAGTACATTAAATTCTCACTCAGCTAGCCTCCATGATCTCCTTTTAATAATATAAACATACAATAAAATGTTCAAACGCCATATCGTTTTATAAACTGTTTAAAATGCAATTCTGGTACATGCATACTACAATGCCTGATCTATAACCTATTTATTTTTTGTTAAATAGCCACTGTCAGTTTATTAAGTATATTTTACTGTGATGTTTTAGAAAAACCAATTTTGTTTTTTTAGGTAAATAATTAAACAAAAGTACAAACTCAAATATGCAATTATTCATTGCATATTTAATATACATTATGTAATTCTGAAAAATTGTATGTGAGTATCATCTTAAAAAATATCTATATTTTAAAAAAAAAACATAACACTGTTGCCAGATTTGGATTATGCTAGATTTGCTTACTTTTTAAAATATATTCCGTACTAAATAGCATATTCTACATCAAAATTGCATAGATCAAAACAAGAACAGAATTACATATTTTATGAATATTGCATAGATCAGAACATGATTATATGTATGTTTGTATGTCATTTAGTAAAGAATACAATATAGGATGACCAATTAATCAAGCCAAATATGATTACACAAAAGAAAAGAATATTAATTTATAAATGTATGCCTTGAGTTAACAATTCTGCTGTTAGAAACATTATTCGTATTGTAATAATATAAATGGTGAGGGCAGGAGGGGCTGCGAACCAGCTTCGAAGATTTGAGAAAAAATTGTGTTTTGCTCACTTAAGTTGAACCAAATTTTGATTTATGCTGAATTTAAATTATCTTCCAGTACTAACTCTAAGGGAGTGACAATTACTTATGTGTTTTGTTATGCATAATTTTTATTTATTGTTTAAGCTAAAGTAGGTAATAATTTATATTAAAATTCAACAGGGTTGGCGGAATAGGGCGCAGAAAAAAGTTATTTTAGATTAAATTTATTATATTGAATTTACCTTATGCTGTACAAGTAGAAGGTCTTTATTTTTGGAATGCTTTAAAAAATTTGTATTAGATTAATCATTTTATTGTTTTTATTTTATCATTTCAATGTCAAATTAAATATATAAAATATCCAGTTATTCAAAAAATTTAAAGTTGTTTTATATTGCTTGGATGCAACTATAATATTGTTATCAAGCAATTACGTAATTTTTCGGAATCATTTTAATTTATAGTAGTTTCATCATTGTTTTCTAAATATTTTTTTTAAAATTTTGAATTATTAGAAGTTATGTTTTCCGTTATTTGGCATAATTCTGTTATAAATCAATTTTTTTCTTGGTTCTAATATTCTTTCAATATATAGGTAACATTAAAAATTTTATTTAACTAGTTTTTATCTTATTTTATGCAGTTGATTTTGTTATGATTCATTTACTGATCTTCTATCTAGATTTTTTTTGTTTGTTTTTTAAAGGTTGATTTTTGTTTTGCTTTCCTCTTTTTTTTTTCCTCCTTCAAAACTAAAGCTCGTAAGTCACAGTAGCTGAAGGCATTGATTTTGTTTTTATGGAATTTCATTATTTGCAAGTCAAAAAATTAAAAGAAAAAATATTCTAAATTCCTTTTTACATGGCCTTACAATACAAAGTTTTATTTAATTTTGAATTTAGAAATAAAAAATGCTAAATAGCTTAATTTTAAATGTTTATAACTTTAAAAATAAAATACTTCACATAAAAAATTATAAACATATTTAGGCTGCAAGACAGACCTTCACCAGAGGACTAAAATTATTTTTAAATTTTTATTGCACTTATGAAGATATTCCGTTCAGTATTCAAACATATATACATTTTATGTAATAAATTTCTGACTTTTAAATTTTGGTAGTTTTATTCCTATTTTATCATTTCAACTTTATCAATATTTTTATTTAGCTATAAGTTTGTTTTCATTAAATTGTGTTATTTTTAATAAAAATATGCACTACTTAATTATTAAGCAGAAAGAATATTGTTTATTTATATTGTGTAATTTGTATTGTACATTAAACTAAATTATTAATAAAAAAGAATCTCATTTTTTTTTACATAAAATTGTTTTGAAAATTAAATAGCATTTCCACTTTATTATAAACCAGTATTCTCAATAAATGTCCTTTTATATTTTCATGGACTTCAGGATGACTAGTTAAAATTCTACTGATGGTGTCAAAAGACTTTGCTACGCCACTGAAATCTATAGATATTTCTCTCACATATTTCATGAAATACTTTCATTGAAATATTTAAATTGTCTGGTTTTGGTCAGTTCTGTGTGTTGTCATGATTACAAAAAGCAAGACATTACAGTTTTAGATTTAACTATTTTTCTGATTCTACATATTTACTATTATTTTATTAAAGTATCCCAATTTTATTAAAATTGGCCTTTAATAATTTTGTATCTATCTGTACTCGTTATATAGTGGCTAAATATTTCGAAAAGACAGTTGATTAATGCATCAGCAAAATGACTATATTTATACACTGCTTTGCAGTACCTTACAGAAGTCATGTATTTTTTTTCTCTCTTTTTTTTAAAATTTTTTTTTTTTTTTGAGACACACTGTTATTTTTTTCACTTCTCTGTCAAACCAAAATTTTACTTTACTACCTCATTATCCATCCAAGTGCTAAGCCAGTTAAACGAAAGTTAAAGCTGCATATACTAAAATATTTTCATTAAAATACAGAATTTATTATTTTTTCAAACAATTTTTGTGACTACATCTAGATTATAAGGAATTATTAATAAATGCAAATAAGAAGCTATTAATGAATGCATTTGTGAAATTCTTCTTCTTTAAATTAGCTGATTATTACTTGTAAGGTCTTTTGTATATTAATAAATTTAGACCAACATAAATAATATAATATATATATATTTTTTTTCAACTTAAAAAAAAACTTTTTTTTAAATTTTTGTTTAGTTAAAAAATATAACATTCAAAATTGTGAGTTCATTTTATAAATTTGTAAGACAAAACTGGAATTTTGAGAAAATAAAGTAATGACCCAGCGATTTTTAACAGTTTTTTTCTTAATTCTTTAAATCTCAAATAATATTTTAAATTTAAAAAAAAAAAAAATTATTTTGAAAATTATTTTACTATAAAATTAAATGTTGTGAATCAGATGTCTATGTAAATCAGAAAAGCCAAAAATAAATAAATAAAAAACAATACATTGCTAAAATTGAAATTCTGAAAAAAGAAAGCATTCACCCCAATATTTTCTAATTAAAATCAGTTTTTATTTTAGTAAAGTAGTGAAATTATTTATTTTGTTTTGCACCATTAAACACGCTCTAATTTTTATCTTAAATCTAATGAAATTCCTGATATTAGTCTCATAGTTGCATTTGTAAAAATAAATAAATAAAATAAAATTGTAGTACAAAATTATGCAAAACTTATATCTAAATTGTCTTAACTTAAATTTCTTAAACTTATATGTCCCATTATTTATATTTTTACTAAAATTGGCTGCTTATGAACAACATTTTTACATAACTATGTTTTAACTTTTCAGAGTGGAGCCAAATGAATTTGATTTTGATGATGAATTTGGTTCAGAACGACCCTCCTTGAAGTTATCTGCCCGCAAACGAAATAATGGTAGGAATTGCAACATTTTATTTTAGAATTATATGATGAGTTGATAATTATCTGCCACTACATTACAAGTATTATTATGTCAAAAATATAAATGTTTTAGTTATTAATATAATTATTAACTTATATTATCATTGGAAAGTCGCATAATTACAAACATTATTAATTTTTTGGTGTTGCCAGCAAGTATTTTAATTAAATTAATTATTATTAAAAATTCAACTTTTTTCCATATTTATGTTATTACTAACACAATTTCTTTCTTCATTGTCAACCACTTCATTCTGTTTGGTTTTAGTTGTTAACGCTGCACTATTGGGCTCTATAGAGCTATTCTATTGGGCTATTAATGGCAGCATAGGATTCATTATAATGGTCAAAAGACAATACTGTGCATTGACGTCACTACATTAAAATGATTCATATCTAAGGACAGATCATAGCACTTTCTTCGCAACATGCTCCTAATCATTCAATTGTGTTGGAAGTGTTTTGGCTGAAATTGCTGGCAGGGATCGTAAATATCATGATATTTTCAAAAATATCCGATATTTTGATATATATCCGATATTTTGATATACATTCAAATTTTTGTTTTATATTTAGTATCTTCAATATAATTTAACTTTATTGTTAGGAATTGTTTTTCATACATTATATACAAATTTAAAACGTAAAATAATTCATTTTATATAAATTCTAAATTCCTAATGTTAATTGTAATTAATAAATTTATAATTTTTATAAAATAAAACATAATTTTTTTTTTAAATAAAAAAGGTTCTCCAAAACAAAATCTTTTGCAATCACCAAAATACAGGACATTTTTATTTTACTTTTACTAAGTTTTAAAACACATTTTTCTTTATTTCTTGTTAAAATATTGGAACATAAAAGTAAGTTTTTCTGCCTTTTCAGTCCCTAATATATTCCGCAACTTGGACTGAATAAATCCAAAGCTAAAGAATATTCTCTCTAACCCAGCTGTGGTAGGAGAGGCAGTTAATAGTTGTTCAAGAAGATTTGTTATTCTGACTTTTAAAGGTTCCTCTAACTTGATAGTTTCCCACAAAACTGTGGGTTCCACATTGAGAAAGTCATCTTTGAACTTGAAGCCTGGAAAGGGGCTCTTTTTGGCCAAAAAATTCATAGCCATAGATAAAATATCTTTGTCAACAGAGCGTAGGAAATTAAAGCTCTTTGCGTTTGCTCGTCATTTAGTTTTTTTCCACAATATCTGTGGTTCAACATATTAGCAGCTAAATGAGCAGGGGTTAAAGCCATTACTTCTCTTTCTGAGAACTCTTTCATCACGTCTTTTTTTCCACATGCTTCTAATTTCTCCTTTAATTTGCACCAAATTTCAACACATTGTGCTATCGTGCATTTATTTGCTTGTACTGCATCTAAAGCATTTGCAATCGGTTCTAAAATGCTTATATAATCAGAGCAATTTACCATTAAATTTACATCATTTACTAAATTGAAGATGTTTTTATCAATTTTAAGTTTGTTGTCTTGGCAAACTTGCACCAATTTTCCTCTGTTTTCTAAAAAGGTCTTTAAAGAATCGAACATAGTGCTCCACCTGACTGCCTGAGGAACATCTAGCATTTTCCCTCCATTTTTTCTATACCAAGCATTTGGCAAATGAGTGTACTTAAAATATTTTATCACTTTAATAACATTTTTCGTAACATCAGGAAAATTTATATCTTTAGCTAAAAGATTTAAGATATGAGCGGAACAACCATAATATATAATATCATAATTCTCAGTTTTATCTAGCTCTTCTCTCATTTTTTTATGTTACTAGCATTTTTCTACTTAGGTAGGGGGTAAGTGGGAGCAGGTGCAATCTAAAACAAGATTTTTGTAGGAAGTAAAGATAGTGTGAATGGTAGCATGAGTTTGTGGAGTGATTAAAAGAAATCTTGAAATAACATGGGGGATATTTTAGAAATTTTGCTGAAAATATCGAAAATATCATGATATTTATTTCAAAATAAATATCGGATATATATCATGATATATATCCATTGATATATATCAATGAACTCTGATTGCTGGTGTAATTATATTAGAGTGAATTTAAAACCAAAAAGGCCTGATCCTAGATATTACAATTCTATCAGACATCCAGTCTTTATACATGGACGCGAAACCCTGCCCAAGCTGTGGTAAAGCTAAACTAATTCCCCCTCCTCAACTGGACAAGTCTTTCCTTCGGAAAGACTTAGGGCACGGGCTATTCTTTGTAATTCAATTTTGTTCCAACTTGCAAAGCTTTAAACCCAGTGTTTTTGCAAAGTAATGGTTTGGTGTGTTACTCCAAAATTTCCTGTTTTTATTAGTAAAAATGTTTATGTGTTTAAAAGTTAGTACTAATTTGGGTTTTAGTCTGATAATGTTAATCACAATGTACTAAATTAAGTTTGTTATATTTGTTTCTTATGTTGGTGAAAAAGCATTTTTTACATATAGCGCTTCTCATACGAACTTAATTTCAAAATAAAATGTAAAAATATGTATGTAACTTATTGCATTATCTTTGAACATTTGTTTAAAATTTGTAGTAAAAAAGTAAAGACAAATATATTAAAGAGCTAGATAAATAAGTACAATGATAAAGATTTGCACAGAACCTGATAACATATGATATAAAACTGGCCCTGAATATATAGATTTAAAAGTGTTTAACTTATACAAGATGGAAAATACCATATTAGCATGTAAAAATATTTTTAGACACATTTATACTTAATATTTTAAGAATAGCTAAGCGTTAAAAAATTTAACTGCCTCTCAGTAAAAAACATATACATCTGCTAATGTTTAAAAAAATCTCAGTTTCATAATTTTTTGCAACAAAATATTAATGTAGTAAGTTGGAAATAAAGGTATGACTTTTAAGAAAATGAGGTAGTTAAAAAAAACAATAAGAATAAATTGAAGATGTTTCATAAAATTTGGTTTTGATTTATAATGTTTTTTTTACAAAAAATTTTAAATTTCCTCATTTTTTTAATTGTTTAATTTTTGTAAAAATTAATATTTTTCAGTTTTCTTTTAAAGTAGTTGGCCGAAAGACAGGATACTCAGCAACAGTTGTTAAAATATAACTATTTAATTCAGAATTCTATCATGAATGTACAAAATTATTTTATAATCTTGAATTATACTTAAACTTACTTATGTTACTTGTAATTTTAAATAAGAACTCAATTTTTGAGAGATAAAAATACAATTAAAAGAAAAAAATTAGATAAAAGTTTTGTAAAACTAATAATTTTATCTTGACTAATTGAGCCAATGATGAAACCCTAGAAACTATTAAATGTTATACTATGTTGTTGACCAGTATTTTTGTAAACTCTATCTAAGGAAGTTGCTTGCAGATGAAAATAAGCATATTGAGACATCAAGTTCTTTAAGGTAAAATCACTATATATTGGACATTGTATCAACACCTACTATTGTCTAGTATAAGGGAAATAAAAAAAAGAAATTCCAATTTAAAACATATTTTTTAAATAATTTGTTTGATGTTGATTTTAAAATTTTATAATTAATGAAAGCAATTTAACCAAAAATAGAATTCATAGTAATGTGAGTAAATAATAACAATAGAATTAAAAATATAATTACTTGCTACTCCAAAAAAAAAACAGTATTGAAAGTTTGTAAAGATAATTTTAAAATTTTTATCCTCATATTCGGTTATTACAAACGTTTACATTGTGCTAGAATAATGTTTTATTCAATAAATTAGATACCTGTTTTATAACGCAAAAAACTATTTTTTAAGTTTTTATTATAATTTTGGATTAAGTTTTACTTAACCGATTAAAAAAGGTTTGGGCAGATGTAGTTTGTAAAATATTCAGAGCTCTTTGCTGCAAGTTAAATGAGTTATCAAAACAAGAAGAAAAAAAAACCTTCAAAAAGTGTTTCAAAGTCACCCTAATTTGCAATATTTTTTCTGATAATTTTCATTTTATTTATTTATTATTAGAAAAAACTTGTCAATTCTATGTTTACAAATTTTACCCTTTTTGTAATCACTCATTAAATTTATTTTTAAATATGAGTAATTTCTGAATGCAACACATGTTATTACTTTTACAGTCATGCTTAATTTTTACTAAAAATTTGAATTTTTGTGTCATCAGGGTGCTTCAAAATGGGCATTTTATTTTATAATTTTCTATGCTTCTACAGTGAATACATAAACATTTTATTAAAGTGAAAGTATTGGTTAGATTTTGTTGAATCATAGCTCTTGATAAGTTTAGTTGTTAATTTCAATTAGAACACAAATAAAAATGGTTTTCTTCATTAAAATTGGGCACTTAACTAAATCATAATTAGTTGTGAATTTTTCATTTTTTCTTACAAATTAACCTAACTAGTATATATTATGTCTGTGTACTCATTGCTAATCAACTTTTAATGTCTTTGCACACAAGTTTGTTTACGTGTACTTAAATGTATGATGTCCACCTTCTAAGATAATTTTATCAAAAAATTCTTTCAATTCTTTTCAAAAATATTTGAAATTGTCTAATTATTGTTTCAGCTACCAGTGCACAAAAAAGAGTTGCAAGACTAGATAAAGTAATGTTTGATATCCAAAGACATCGTAAACTAGATGAACTGGAATTGCAAAAAAGTTTATCAGACTCTACTTGTTCCAGCCCTTCTTCAAAAACTGAACAAAAGACATCATGAGTGCGTTGTATACCTTGCACTTAATTCTTAATTTATGAGTTCATATTATCGTGTAAATATAAAATTTGTTAGTGCCCATGCCATTCATTATTGTAATTTGTAATTATTGAAATAAATAATGTATGTTTTCAAAAACTATTTTTGTTTTGTTTAAAGATTTAAACACTCATCACAAAGCCTGGATAATTATTCTGATAAACTGCTTTTTTAAAATGGTGATAAGCTCTATTTTAAATATCAACAACAAAGTTTAAATTATTCATTTTACATAGAATTTTAATGAATTGAGTACAAACTTCCTACCAATCTGATCACCTACCGACACCATAAATATAGAGTAATCTTCTAGACTTCATGGTATATAAACCTTACTATTTGGGTTGACTCAGGCAAATGTATAAATGAACAGAAAAAACAATAAAAATTACAAAAACAGCCTTCTTTTGTCGAACATTTTTCTCTTAAAAAAAGTTTTAGGATACAGAAGGAATTACATATCTGAAAATTATGCCACCAAAAAGCAACTTTGTTATTTCAAGCAAGTTTGGGCTCCATTTTGAGAAGAATCTGCTGTTCCTTTCAAAATAACTACTAAATTGTTTTTTAAAATGTTCTTTAGTGTAATTTGTGCGCTCTTCAAAATTTTTTTCTTCATCCTTTTTTTTTCTATTTTGTTTTGAAATTCAACTTAATCTTCAAAAAATGAATGCAAGTGTATATGAAGTTTCTAAGCTGCCTTGCATCATGAAAGATTTTTTTGGCAAAAAAATTGACCTTAAATATAAAAATGGGCTGAAAAAGGAGTGAAACTACCAATCAGAATTAAGTAAACTTGGTTTTAAGTTGATCAGGTGTTAAAAATGTTTTTTTTTTTTTTTTTTAAAGCAATAATTGCAGGTTTTAAACGAAACTAACTATTGAATCATCTTAAACACAGATTTAATATTTAAAAAAAAAAAAATCACGAAATTGAGACTAGTGGCTTTAAATGCCAAATTAGCACATTCAAATAACTAGACACTTAAATGAAACTAGTTTTTTCCATATATTTTCAGCTTAAGAAACCGGAATATCAGTGAATGAGATAATTTGCATACATGAAATCGAAACATTTAATAAATATGGTCTTGTGAGTTTTATAGACTATAAGCCGAGCATATAGTCTATATAAATATATATATATATAATATATATTTATCTAGGGGCATCCAGGGGTTACTGATAACCTGGAGTGCGCACACGTAACTGCTAAAGTAGAGAGACTAGGACACCACACAGGAAAGACTTGGCGGACATTTTATTGATGGTCAAAAGAGACCTGTGAGCCGACCTCTAGGTTACGGGTAGAGAAGTCAATAAAAAACTTAGGTATAGTCGTATAAGTGATAAGTGAAAGTAATTCAAAAAAGTCAGAGTCTATGCACACAGAGTGGTCACTTCTACCCATGAGTGCCCCTCCCTGAACCAGAAGGCTGCAAAAAGTTGTGAGTCGTAATATCATTATGATATAGACTATAACCAATATTTTCTTAAACAACTATAATCTTTAAACCAAGGGTTGTCAAACTTTTTTGATCATCGACCCCTACATAATTTTTCGAAATCTCCATCGACCCCCATAAAAGTAATTTTCTGTTAATTAAAATAAAACTCTATTAGATACTGTGTTTGTACATTTATTTTATGATTTTGAACATTTATTAAAGTAATAGTACATAGTGTAACAATAGTTTTATGAAAAATATATTAATGTTGAAATAT